GCCACCGGTACCTTCTCATAGGTAAGGTCTCGCTCGACCCACAGTTCGCCGAAGTCCACCACGTAATCCGGGTCATGTACATCTCTACGCAACATCGAGACATAAACACAGCATGCATCCCTGGTAAGTTTGGTGGTAAAGCTAGCAGATAATCCAAGTCAACGACTTGAGTAAGGATCTCAAAAGACTAACTGCTCACAACAACGGATCCTCTTTTCCCCAAATCGAGGTATATCACACCTCTAATCATACGAAAGGGGAAAACTCGAACGGTACCATCTATGTACCTGCTCAAAACACAAAACGGCTCACCCAAGGTGAGGAATCGCAAAAACGCCTCACACAATATGCACACATGACCTCAACAGGTCTCATAGTGCCTCGACCGTGATATCCTCGGTCAAACAATCGTGGTCGATACGTGGAGTTGAGTTTTAGCATGGTGCCCGAGTCACGCCAAAACTTACCCACGATCTCGACACACTCGTGACTTCTTGCCGAAGCAATTGTCACGGTAAATGTGCAACCATGCATGCAATATAGCCTCGCTATACTCATACTCACAACACACGATTCTGCTATACAAATGTAACCCCTCATGGCTCCGTTTGCTGACACCACAAATCTCCTATTTCGCCATCTCGAGGAATCCTCGTATAGGCATAGGAAACCTATCGGTCACGCTTCCTCGTCAACACTATCGATCAAGGATGCAAACACGGTACGGTGGAACTTGGTACTCTCGGTGGTCAAACTGTCCCAAAGAAAAAATAAATCGGACATTTGAGTTGTTAATGCACTGTCCTCCGAAAGGGTACACGCTCGCAGGCGCTGCATATGCGAGGCGCCAGGACGCTCACGTGCACCCATTCGGAAACCAGCCGCAAGGTCAAGGTTTGGCCGATCACACTGGCCTGGGAGTTCTGTGTGTTTGGTGATGGCAACTGCAGCTTGCGTGTGAGTCAACGATCGGCCGTGCACAAACCTCTCGTCTATCAACACGGGCGTACACGCTTGACCACCACTTCGTGGCTACACCCAGTCTGGATCGGTTTTCGGTTCAAGGTTTCAATAGGAAAATTTAATCCATGGTTTTTCTCAAAAATGAAAATTTTCTGAATTGGGATTTCACGTATGCTAAAGCAATAGCAAGAAAAGAATCTTCCACTAAAACGTTTACCAATGGGGTTTAGATCAAACAAACTTTTTGGTCTTAAACGAATTCAAAAGTTTCAAGGTCTCAAAAAGTAGCAGGGTGTAAAACCGAGTTCCAAGTCCACTTCATTTTTACAATAACACACACTAACACGCAAAAGACTCAATGCTGAAGACAAGCAAAAATCCTCAAAGGAAACGAATGAGGCTCTCCAGTCGAGAATGGTACTAGGTCAGCGGCTCCTTCGAGACACCAACTAGTTAGCTCATTTCGGCTCTTCCGAATAACAAAGTCGGCCGTCACGTCAGCTCTTCCTCCGGTAGCTAATCGTGCCAACAGTCCTAAACGAGCTCTACTCATCTGCATTGCCTAGCGTTTACATCTCCAGGTCCAAGCGAAAAGCATTCTTTCATCGAAATGACCATGATCGCATCTTCGGTTTTTTCCCGATACATCTCGGAGTTCTTAATTTATATCGTCGCTGCAGAATTACCACTAGATATTTTGTCACAGTCGCCATTGCGTTGCGGAACACGTAAAGAATCACTATTCGATTGCAGATATTTTCATCGGTTTCTAGATTCCTTTTTGATACGTCGACTCCTCGATCATCAGCTGATGATACATCGGTCTCGAATCGGTCTCCAATGATCTTGCAGTTGTCTTCAGTTGCTTGAGCAGGTCTTCACTTCGCGATAGTAGTTGATCATCCTTCTTCTTCTATCAGTTAGGTTTACGATTGTCGATGTGTAGCCTTCATTACCACGAAACCGATTGGCTCCTCTAGTATTCCGGTTGGTCGTATCTTGCTTTCTCGTCTGGTGGTCTTCTTTGCAGTTTCTCCGGACTACTCATAGATGTATTCGAATAATTGGTGCGTCTCAGAAATGATTCAACTTGTCATCAATACGATAAAGATAATTTGGTACGGATGAATGAAATATTCAAAAACAACTGAAATAATGATATAAGACAAGCAGGAAGCCGGAAACACTTGTCTTAATTGGTACATCAGGTCATAAACTTGATCTCGAAACTCAAGCGAACAAGAACAAAGGCAAGGTTTTTAAGGGTTTTTCAAAAGTCCAAGGAAGTGAAAGAAAATTCTCCCAAAGGCCAAAAAGAGATTAAAGAACAAAAACTTGCCAAAGTTTACAACGAAAAGTAAATTTGAGAATATAAGCGGTTATATGGCTCACAATGCACATGCTCCAGGCTCAACTACCCTCCTTAAAAGATCCTTCATAATCTTTTAAGGTACACACCTTCTTCGCAATTATCAAAGACTCCCGATCGGAGAAAACCATTTTCGGTGCAACATACGAGTCGATAATGACTTGATAAATGATCATCATTGGCCTCCAGGTTACGATACCCAAGAGAGTTACGATGACGTTCGCAATTCCTATTACACGGACTCAGAGTTACCCAAACAACAACATCAACCTTGCAGCAAATAAGGTCTAACAGAAAACAGACTGCTTACCCTTATTTATATACAAAGCCTCTAAACCAAGTTAGCTTCACACATAAAACACATAAAATTTCACAACCGATTAAAAGATAATACACAAGAATGGAAATTTAATAATCAACACACAATCTCGATTTCCCGGTCAGTCGTCCACTCCTTGCTCAGTTCATCCTTGAGATTGGCATTAGTATCATTCCATCGATTAACAGAGCTCCTTGGCATCGGTCGATAACTCGTTTGAAGTTTTAAATCAAAATCATCATACTCCAAAGATTGGATTTCACCACTATTACTCTGGTACACTTGTCAGCTGCCCCAGACGTTTGAGTGATCCCGCACATTCAAAATTTCTCGGTTATCTAATCTTAGTAAGGCATCCTGACGTTGGTCACCAGAAAAGCTATGGTGTATATACGCAAATTTCAACTATTAAAGAGATAGCCCACTCAAAATGCTAACTCGAACTCATAGAGAAATCTCTAGAGTCATAACTAGTTCCCTAAAGCGCCTAGAGTTCACCCAATAAGCACTAGGATTCGAAATATACCAAGGTGGATAGATCCTAAGCCCCAAATCACAAGTTCATCACGAGTAGTTTCATTACTACAAGTGCATCAATTACATAACAAGTATTTTCATTAATACATTAAACAAAACATACCTTAAGCAGCGCGGAGTGACGGAGACGAGTGGTCATAACACAAGGTCTAAACACATTATCACATCTTAAACCAGTCTACAGAAACGCAGACTGGCT